AGTGGATAATTATCTCTGGAGATAGGTTCCCTGCACCATTACCGCAAGTCTGTCGTTACTGTAGCCATCAACACCAACCTTGCACAGAAGCAGAGACAGTAAATACATCAGCCAGTCACATAAGTTAATTACTAAGACCAAGATTCAACCACAGACCGGATTTCACGGGGGAACAAAGTTAGCAGCCACCAGTATAATGTAAGTGGGTGGAGTCATGGGAGGAAGCGAGGCTTGTTACCGGGTGTGTGTCAGGGCTAATTTTCCAAGCGAATGACTGTGATTGTGTGTGGTTGTGCACTCTGGTGCTTGTCGAGGCATTTCTGTGGTACAATCAGTGACACTGCGATGTGGCTATTTCTGGTGTGTGTATGAGGAGGGGGGAAAGCCTGCAGCTCTTTCCTCGCTTATTTACCCCCCACTCTTTTTTCCTTGGCTCCCTTTCTTTCCCTGTCCCTCTATTTTCTCAGCATGGGAGCTGTTGGATGTAGATAAGTCCCCAGACAACCGAAACAACAGGGAGCCAGAGAGAAAGAGAGGGTGACTGTCTTGTCTAGTAACAGCTTACGTCACAGTGCGCTCAGGTTAATGGGGTATAATGTGACTTATGGAGAGAAAAACTGGCTTGAGGCTTATTCTGTTACATTTTCTAAGTAAAGAAGTAGTAGAGAAATTATTGTGAGGGCCATGAAAATGTCTTCCTGGATCTACAGTACATATTTTAACCAATAAAGGCAGACTTTGTCATACTTTGCTAACAAATGCCCCTGTTCTCTCCTTGGCAGGTTTAAACAGATGATCCCTAAACTTGACCCCCCTCCACCCTCCCTGAACCGCAAGCGGGCCAGCAGGACCTTGTCTCCGGGGGCAGACGTCACAGCTGCGTCCACACCAGGCGAGGTCACCGCTAACGATGTGGCCCCCAGCCGCAGCAGCAGCCTCTCATTCCCAGACATCACCCCCAGCTCCTTGTCGTCCGCTGATTTCCACTCGCTCAGCAACGGCGGCGAGAGCAGCTCCTGCTCGGCCAGCGATGACTCGGGCGTCCGCTCTGAGACCAAGTCCCTGCTGTCGCCACTGCGCGACGATGACGACCTGTTTGGGGACCGCGGGACGTTTCTGACGGCCTCCAGCGGCTGTGACAGTCCCCTGGAGGAGAGATGCGAAGCGGTTCTCTCTTCCTCCGAGTCATATCCCGCTGACCCCCCCACCCTCGTCACACATTCGGACACCTATGAGCACCCACTGCCCTTCACGTCTCCTATGAATGATACCTGCCTTCACATCAGTTTCTCTGAGGATGAGCTGCTGGAGAGCAACCAGGAAGACCCAAATGTCCCACAGCGGAGTTAGGAGGGCGAGCTGATGGGCCCCTGGAGACCCTTTTCACCGTGTCCCTCAATCAGCTTTTAATGCAATACTTACTGTCAGACCCTCCTATGTTTGCACTGGGCTCCATTTCAGGACCTTTAATTATTCCGTCCACTTGTGACACAGTACAGACATAGCATATAGCAGAAAAATAATCTTATCGTATAAATTATTAGCTAATGGACAGATTTAGTATTTTTGTAATGAATTAATGATCTAATTTACTTTTTAGTGACTAGAATGTTAAGCAGAATACATGTAGCAATTCTTGCACTGTTAAGGTCACACGTAATTTACTGTAGAATTCAAAGCCAATGAGGGAACACATTTTATTTTTGCTAGTAGTCTACATTTAAACTTTATTTTCTATGATGCTTCGCTGTGGTGCAAACTATTGTGGGAAATATGATTTTCTGGAGATTTGATACACAGTGATCATGCAAATGTTTGGTGATGTTGGGAAGAGCCTCGCCGTCTGTACAGCACCAAACTGGATTGAGGGTGGAAAGAAAAGAACAAGAAAGTCAGTTAAAGGAAAAATGGAGGATAGAAATGAGCAGATCTATTTTATGTGTTTTGTTTATGCACATCCATTTGTGGCTGTGTACAAATGGATTTTTTATTACCAGGGTTGAGTGGATTTTAGAATGTTTTGTGCTACGTGTATTTTGAGGTTTTCACACTTGTGAGCCCCTAAAGCAGTGCTGTAAAAATGAGTGGAATAGCCAAATTTATGTATTCCATTTATTCTGTCGATAGCATGGTTGTAATCCTTCAAAACAAAGGAATTTCCACAGTGAATTTAAAATATTTTAGTTGTGAAAATGGCACAGAAAGAAAGCAAACCCCTCAAAAAGTCGACACAATGAGCCATAAAAGCTTTGCACCTGTCTGAGTGGGAGTCTGTTATAAAATGAACCCTCAGACTCAATGGGAAGATAATTGTCGAATCACAAAGGACCTTGGAGAAAGACAGCTTTGCGGATGGATTTTCTCTGTTCCGTCACTTCGTGAAATCCTGAATAACCAGCAAGTCAGTTTCATTTAGAGCTTTCAGGAGAAATCACCCTGACATTGTATATTTATTGTTTTTTGTGAGTGCAGTTTAATCCGAGCGTTGGGAACATTGTTTTAGCTTGATTGGTGTATTTCAGTATAGAGCTACAACAATTAGTCGATCAACAGAAAATTTTGATAATCTATTAATAGTTTTGAATCGTTTTTTGATGTTAACATTTAATGTGAAGTGAATATCTTTGGGTTATCGGACTGACATTTTATAGATTAAGCGATAAATCGACAGAGAAAATGATCAGCAGATGAATTAACAATGAAAATAATAATTTGTTACTGCCCTACAGCTAAACATGCAGCTATTCAAATGTTCTTTTTAAAATGTGTTTACATGCAAGTGGTAAGGTATTACTGCACTGTTAATAGTTTTGTACTCAATTAAGCGCACTGGTGTAATCTCTGACAGGTAGACGCGTCAATAAATGGATGAGTGAGGAAAAAGGAGCAGAGCTGTAACAAGAGGTTGTGTGTGCCCACAGGCAAAGCTTTTAACACCCAGAAACGAGGCTTTTCTCAACATCACATGTGGCAGGGAGTTTTAACAGCAATAACAGCGTGGAAGAAAAAAATAATAAAGAGGAATAGTTGACAAACTTCAACATTTACAGTGTTTTTTTCTTTTCACCACATTTTTTTATCCAGAGTATGTGTGTATTATATGCAGACAATATCACACTCTTATTTATGTGATCTTGCACACAGGATAATGACAGAAAATGGAGACGACTGCGCATGAAGGCATTCAAAGGGACCACTGTTCACTTTACTGCTTAAATTACCTGTCACTGCATGGTTCTTTGTTGGTACATGTCTTCTATGTAATTTCCCATAACCGCAGCAGTGTAAACATAATTTTATCCACTGATAAATGCACTTTGAGGAGATCAGGTTTCAAACTGCAAAGCATTCACATATAGTATTTAAACAGGTAAAGCTGTGGAAATCAGCAAGCTCACAGCTGGATTCAAACCACTGAGTAACAATGCAACCACAGGTCCATTAAAGAACGAAACACTGTTCACTTCATCTTTTTGGTTTGAATTGAAACAAGCATAGTCTGTTTGCCCTCCTCCTGTGCCCTTTTACTCTGCATTAATTATGTCTTCCTGCATTCACATTTGGCATTAAAAATTCATGTCTCTCAAACTCTTTGCCACATGCGTAACATTTTCGAGGCTCTGTCACTCTCCTGAGTTGTTCTGCTCCTAGAAGGCGAGCTGTTTCTTCTCTGTTGTCCCCAGGCCTACAAAGCTCGCCTCTGCAGTGTATGCTGTCGCTGCCAGGCAGGTACAGTTGACTGACAGGCTTAATTTGTTCAGGGCATCAGTGGGAAGCAGTAATGTGAATGGAGGCAAATAGGAAATCCTTCAGCTCTATGGTGTTAGAGCTGTTATTTCTCTTGCAGCGCTCTGATCTCAAGAGTACAAACACCGCCTCTAAACAAGAGAATTGATGAAGTGTGGGGTTTTTTTGATTTGTGGCACAGGGTTTCTTCCTGTGTGCCTTCATCCCCTCTTTCAACTTGGAATTCCCCAACTGGCTAATCAATAATGCAGGGTGTCTGTGTGGCTCAGGAAAGTAGGAGCTACTCCCTCTTCTCTGGTTGTTTCTCTCCAGAGAGATGGCCTCCATCTGAGTCAGTTCAATACCAGACTGTGTCTGATCTGCGATCAATCCACTGTACCTCCAAAGAGTCACATCGCAGCTTGACGCCGACTGTTAACCTTCGCTCTGTGGCTTCACATAGCTGCTTAAAGTAGATGGCCATCGTCCTTTATGTGTCCATTAATGCTGCTGAAAAGTCATTAGTCTTTGTATAGACAGAAGCAAATCACTGTCAGTGATCAAAGCTTTGTGTGTGAGGCTGGTGATCACAGACACGGGGGTTGCACTCAGAGCATATGCCAGTTCATTTTAACAGCTGCCAGTGGAAATGAAGATAAGGCAGCAGATTAGACTTTCTTGTTACTTTTTGGAGCTTGAAGATATTTTCGAAATCATTCAAAAATGCCTGACCGCTACAATCTGATGATGGTTTTGACATCAAAGTAGAAATGTGCCAAACATGCCATAATGGATCACTGAGGATTATACATTATGGAAAAACATACAACACAAACAGTACACAATAATGCATATTTTGGAGAAGGATGATAAGAAAATGATAGCACATAATTAAATCTAACGTTCAGCTGATAATCTGGTTGTTATAGGGGAACCTCTCAGCTCAGACAAAGAAGAGATAATACCACTGGGGCCATAGTTATGTTTCTTTTAAATGCAGATTTGTAAAGGCAAGTTCATTTCTTGATCCCAAATAATTTCAGGACTATATTATCACTTAACATATACTGTATTTATGATTATTTTCATACCAAGATTATGGAAATCAAGTGACCAGTCAAAGGCAGAGAGCAACACAGAACAGCGTAACTGAAAGGTTGCAATGCCTTCATTTTATACATTATTAGGGTGATTATTTTACAACAGAAAAAAAAACCCAAAAAATGGTATACTCTCACCAGCTAGTTTACCCTTGTTATAGCCTATAGAGCCCACAGATATCCACACCAGAGTACACTGATTTCAGTTTTTAACTCCACTTATAGTTACTTTTTTCACCTAGCTGTGTAGTCCAAGACCTGGCCAGCAAACTACATGATATATAATAGAGTAGCCTTCTGAGAGTTAATATCTGTATGTTGGATTTGGTATACAGGTATATTAAACTCAAATTCTTCAGGCGTAGTGAAGCATCCCTCTCCGGCCCTGTCTGGAGTCTCTTCCCTATGTCATGGCTTTATTAGGAAGACAGTCATCTTAGATATGTAAACTTTGTCAGGCAGATGGATGGAGCTGGGAATAGGAGGAAACAGTGGTGGGACTGTGGAGACATGCAGACGGCAGAAAGAACAAGACTCTCAAGGAGCTGCTAAGCCCTCACATTTGCAGTTAAAAACATCTCAGTGGGTGGGGTTGTTTCTTTCTATGACAGGAGTGTATTTTGAAGTGCCGAAGAAGAATTTATTATTTCTCTCCTCTTACATGTGATACTGTCACTAAAATGCACACACAAATACACAGTTTATCTCTTGTCTGTTTGCTATTTCTTTTTATTAGCCTGTAGCAAACTCAGTACCAGGATAGACAGGCGTAAAAGGTTGTTTTGAGTGTTACTTGAAGAGCCCGTGAGGAACCTTGAGGGCTTTAGGTGAGGAGTGTCTGGAGTCGGGCCCATAGAGGAGACACAATAACCCCTGGGTTCAAACAATTTCCTTTCCACAGAAATGTTTTCCTCTGCGGTCAAGAGAAGGAGAAGTAATACTCAGAGTATTCGCCCACCACTTTTATAATCTGCCCAAAAAGGTCAGCTACAGTTTTGAAAGCCAAGAAGCTCTTGTTTACACTTTGAGATTTAATACAACCTGGTCTTTCTGAAAAGCTAAATATAGTTTGTGATGACAAGACTGGAAAGTGATGTTTTTTTTAGCTAACAGGGTTTGTCCAAAGAAAGACACACTAACTAAATATGTTCAGCTAGTTGACAAGAGCTCAGCAGGAGATATTGGTTCAGAGCTGCTGCTTGGTCGGCCCACCGCTGACTGCTTTTGGGGGTTTGAAGCCGAGGCCAAGAGAGAAAGCTGAGGAGGTGGGTTGAAGTGAGTGATGTTCCTGTTGGCTATCGAAGAGCCCAGCTATAGTATACTGATGTGTTGAATATGAAGCTAGGGCCAGGAGAAGGTTAGCTCCAGTTCAGTAGTCCAGGACTCCAGGAAATTACCAACAAATAGTGCAGCACACTATCACCTAAACCACAATGTGCATTTTTTATACTTTTATATTTTTTTTGTACAGATTAAACAAACAATATGTAATAATGAATTAATATTTTTAGCAACAGCAGTGAACACCCACACACAACTGTACACATAGAGCATCATACAGGAAGAAATAGTAATAAAGTGTAGTAATTCAGAATAGGACAAATAAAATGTGCATATGAAAACTGCAGAGAACTATTTGACTTGTATTGTGTGAATAACAATGTAAACGTCATTTTGTTGGACGCAAAACATCCAGAGGGAGAATACGATAATTGATGGTTGTGCACAGAAAATAAGGAATATGGAATTACACCATAATATTATCTCTGGCAGCTCAGGTTGAAAAGCGTTTCTCCCAACCGCTGTAGGCGATGGGCAGCAGCCTCGTATCTCCACACAGAAGATCAGAGCAAAGAGGGAGGAGCAGGGAAGATTGCTGCATGTTATGTTGGAGTTAATATGGGGTCGGAGGTTTGGTCTTTGTGAGTATGGATGTGGTGTGGGGCATAATAGTAATGTAGTGTTAGCCTTGAGCTGCCTGGGGAGATTTAACGTCACCATAGAGGTCCAAGAGGGAGTTTGTTCAGCTCTGATTATTTTCCGTCTGTGTTTTCACAACCTTTTAACCTTCACCAAGCTACAAGATGGAAACTTTAGGACTTTAATTAATCCCCTCACTTCAAAACATAAAAGGAAAAAAACTTTAGATGATTAAAACAGCCAATAAATATTACACTCTACCACTACCGAAGTATGTGATAACTCCACCAGCTTAAAGAGTTTATTGCTTTGTGTCATGTCACAAGACCTCGGCTCTAACCTTGACTTTGTCCCTTGATTACATTTGGCATGACTGGTAAATAGTCAGTTCAAAAAACACACAGGCTTTGCTGAATGTAGAAAATACAATATAGAAAAGATTCTGATACATGATCACATGATAATTTTGACAAAATTCTCCTCTCCTCTCAACTCATTCGTGTACTTCCTAAATGAGTCTTATATATTATTATATATTATAACTATCAGTGATCCAGTCATTCTCTGCTGCTTGAAACTGTCATTTAGCTATGTTTGTTTATCAGTTTCATCATCTTAGTTTAGCATGTTAGCGCGTCAACATTTTCTAATTAGCACTTAATATAAAGGATAACATGTATTCAGTCATAAACCAAAGTAGGGGCCACAATTAAACCAACCTTATGTTTGTATTAGAGGAAAGGTCAAGGAATCATCAAAGTCATGAGGATTCATTGTCTTTTTTTATACATTAATAAGAGCATATGGACACTATATTCCATTTCTGCCAATAGATTCTCCTTGTAACACACTGGACCTTTAAATAACTACCACTCAGCCAACAACAGCCACAGCCAACATTCTTGTTCTGCTCTTATTATCCACAGGCCTCATTAGCATACAGCTCCCTGCAAATAGGTCTATTCAAGTAATCACAAAAGGAAAAAAGATGACAATCCTGCCCATTTCAGAAAGCTTTGTTACATAAAGCCAATGAGCAGGTCACATCTCATCTCAGGGTGTAATTGTAAGAATTTTACCTTTTTCCATTGGTTCCTCTTCTTTGTTTTGTGGTAAATGTTGGAGTGTTATAGTCAGACTATTCATGCATAACAAAGCCTTTATTAGAAAATTCTCTCAATCATTTTTTAAACCTGTGACAGACTCTTACACGATGTGCTCAGTCTTATTCTCATTTATAGATTTGACTTATTTAACTTGGAACAGTTTAAAACCAGCAGTGCATCACACACTTAACCATCCACCTTCCCTTATATCCTTATGTCAGATCACAAATTGATTTTATTCAATGCTGTTTTTGCATCACATCAACATCTCTGCAAGCAGGCTGTCAGTGCAGTCTCCACCACCCGTTTAATTGAATCCTCTCTTCTCAACAATACAAGACCCAAGAAATACAAGACTCATTTAATCATTCTTGTTTACATATTTCATTTCCCCCTGTAACAGGGAAAGTGTGCAATATTAACGCCAATCTGTGGTGAAATGATTCACCACACACTAAGACAAGATGGGTTGGAAAGTAGAATGACTTTTTCACAGCTTGTTTATTCAAATATCATTCAGGTGTTACTGTTTAAGATCAATAGTCACAATTCTAGCTATACGTCTTAGAAAAATCAGAGATCATCCTGCTGTTCAAAATGATTTAGAATCATTTTCAACGTTTTAAAGGAGATTGATTTAAATCTTTTTTTTTTT